TTTTATTAATTTTTCCCATCTGCAAAGCAACTACCATTATCTGACCGTTTTCTTGTACAAAAACGAATTTATTACTCGTTGGAATGAACCATATACAATTGGTATTGATGACATTTATTTCGGAAAATGATTATTAGGTACATATTTATACTTATGTCAATGTAGGTATATTTAATAAACAGGTCCTGCGAACGGCCAGAGACACAGAAGGAATATCTATTAGTGCAGGCTGTTATTTTATTCTGAACTTTCTGATAATTCTGAGACAACATAATAAAATGTACGTATATACTTTTTCTATAATCAAAACCCAGTTGGGATCAACTGAAAATATAACTTCTGTTCCATGGATTAACCAATGTTATTAAACTAATGAATTAGTTTAAAACACTAATTTATTAGTTTATTTTAATTTAGTTTTGTCCAGTGCAAAAACTTGATGTCTTACGTAAAATTGGTTGAAACTACTTGGTAGCTTGTTCCACTGATGCACGCTTACCTTAGAAGGAGTCGTACGAATTGTTGGGTGACGCGTCACAGTCCGACCGACCTAAAGCCTCGCGTACATCATCAGTAACCTTAAAGTTGCAATTTTCAGAAATAGCACGCTACGTAAGCTGCTAAAAAGCGTATTTCCCTAAAAGTGTGAAGAACCTCGTACAACCTTAAAACCCTTCTTTCACATACAATTATCTAACATTTTGAAACGTTATGGGTTTCATGCTACCGAATTCTAACGTCAAATTATTTTGCGCAACGATAGAGGGGGCTAACAAAAATTTATAAAATCCCGATGAAGAATCTCCGTATTCACTATGTGGACTCCATATTTTGTTGAAGAAACAGCGCCGGCACATATCAAATGGTGTGTAAGGGACGCCTTGCAATGTATGGCAGCATAACGAACTGCAAAAACTTTAGAAGGCACTCAATGGAACAGTTAAAATAGAGAAGCTTAGCTAAATTGGGTAGCTAAACTCGTGATGTACTTTACCAACATTCTAGGACGAAATTTCCCCGACAACAAAATAACAGTATGGCGACGTGGCTAACTATGTTGTACTGCTATTTGATACGAGCGAGGCACCAAGATCAAAAAGAACTAGCAAACTGATCTATCCCTTAGAGAACATGCCTCTCCAAAATGGAGTCGACATTAGCGATATGGATCGTTGGCCATTTCTGGAATCAGAAATAACAATATATAAGCGTCTCTCCTACGCTTTATATTGTTATTTCTGCTCTCCTACGCCTATATATAGATAATATAGGCGTAGGAGAGCAGTAACGTTTATGCGACCTGACAGAATAGCTTCGATAACATGAAGCGAGTTCCTCAAAAGCAATGGACGTTCTGGGCACTATATGGCATATAATACGTACAAAATTGGGGTTGAAATGGAACAAGATTGCGAAGCAGGCCGGATTTGTTGAAACGCACTGTGATAATTCGTATCGTAACTGGTTCTGACATAACAGAAGTTAATGGAAGTCCAACATCTTCTATCGAACACTACGTTTGAGTTAGTTAGGAAGAATCCCTTACGTCAAGCAAAAGACTTCCCTTAGAATGGCTTACTGAACGCAAAAGTGTTAACTCAAAAACGCAAGTATAAATTTGGGCGATAAATAAATTTTATTTATATATATATATGTACAGACGAGTTGCTTGGCTTACAATAGAATTGATCAAATGAAGTCGCCCCAACCCAGTAGTGCATTTAAAGGTTAATGTTTCATTGTTGCAATATATGCGTATGCCTGCTAAATGTTTCCTGTATTTATATTATGAACATTCCTTTAACCAAGTGCGCGTCTTTGTTTCATCATCTTGCTTCGAAGCGCGTTTGGCTTTCTTCAACAATTTCTCGGTTGTATTTGGCAATAGACACTAATTTTTCACCGACGTTTCCAGTTATTGAAAGAGTAATAGTGCAACATAGTCCAGCCTCCCTATAGTATCTTGGGTGTGCGTCTATACTTCTATTATATACACGAATTTAATTGGGCTTTTTTTCCCCCCACAAAGTGATAAATTTCCTTATGTCGAACCGCGCTCTACAATTATATCGAGTGAAAGATGCCTCAGAACAAAGCGCAAGGGGTGAGGGGTTGATAACAATATCTTCTTGAAAAAACCTGGATATGCCTGCTTCGCTAGCAAACGCATAGTGTGACACGGCTTGGACGAGCATCGAAAAAAGTATGACTTTGTTCATTTACATTTGGTTGACTTGGACGCTATGGAGTGCGACACAGCATGATGATGATGATCCAGAAAGTCATTGTTATTACTGTTTCAACCATTTTGAATTTTTTTTTTTTTTTTTTTTGTTATCTGTTAGTTGCAGGCCTTCTTCGTATCGCCAGCCATATCATAACTGGTGTCGGAAATAGAAAAAAGTGAGTAAAAAAAAAGTCATCACAATTGACGTCATTGCTATAGTCATTATTATACAGTACTGAAGTCGTAATTCTATGAAAATGAAGTAGCATTGTAATGAACAAGGAGAATTAATTATTTTTTTAGAGAATTTCGGGTTTGTATTACAGTTCTTTCACGTTCGACATCTTCGACAAATATTACATCTATATCTCTCACTCAACATTAATTAGCCTATATTTCAAAAGTAGTCAACCGTATCTATAAGTGATCAGTAGTTAGGTAAGAACGTTGGATTCCTTTTAGCAAACACCCATGTCGGCCACCGCGCTTGTCATCTGAGAGACCTGATATTTGTCACAAGCAACGGCAAATATACGAAACATGATACTTGTCCTGGCCTTTACTAGTATGAGCGATCTTTTTGAAAAAGGTACAGCATTATCAGACAAAATTCAACTGCTACTTAAATTACTTTCGTCTAACGAACTCTCCAAGTTCTTTCTGTTTCTAGAACGGTAGTGCGGAAGCCTTGATGCTAGGGATTTCTGTTCCAGAGTTTAGATCTTATCAGGCCTTTATACAGAAGCATGTCTAAAATTCACTACGGGGTATACTGGCGAATTTGGCAAAGTTGTACTTCGAACTCGAGTGGGCCGAATTGCATACAAAATCTTGTGGACGTCGTTAGTACACTTAGTTTGCGTTCCAATGATGTTGCCTTAGTAGAGGGGGTGATCCGTGTTCTTTGCCGACAGCTTGCCTTAACAGGGTTAACCTAAAAAGTTACCAAAATACCATACGACCGGCTGGTTAGAGTACGCATTGTACCTTCACAAAACAATTTCCAATTAATAGTATTATCACAGAAATTCAATTGCAATTAAGGAACGATTTAAACCTTTCTTTTGTTGTTGCCCCGATCTCGCAGAAACCTTACTCGCACGCATTCCTTCTTTCTAATTCGTTTTGTATTTTATTAAATATTTCGTATTTAAATTGTCCTTACTTTGTATTTAAATAAAGTCCTGTCCAATAAATGTGTCTATTTTCGAACTCATCAATTGCACGAAACAAAAAAAGAGCCCGTTTTGAAACTGAGTCGCTTTGAATAATGTAATAAAATTATACCATACGTTGGTGATAATTCTTCCATCAGTATACTCAATACAATTGATATACTTTCAGTGATATTTAGTTAGTGCATAAAAAAGACTACTCTATTTATACACTATATATACTAATGAAAATTGTCAACTAATATGCTTTTATACGTAGAATTAACTTAATTAGTATTAAGACCGGTTACAAGCCAATTTCCTCTCTGTAGATTTTTCAGATGCCCGGAAGTATTAGTAACATTACTTTGTATTTATATTAAATTGCTTATCAAGTGTACTAGGTATTGAGACAGGAAAACATTAAGCTGCGTTGTATCTACTGTATTTGAACTGTACATATATATTTTTGATTATCTCTAATCGCCCAAAACATATATTGGTCGTTATCGCAGAAACGCCCTTCGCCGTCAAGACGGTAGTGAAACCTCTTATCAAGGTAAAGTAGAACGTAAACTTTTCAATTCAGACGTTGTTCAAAAATACATGCGGCTATCATAGCCATGATTTAGTCTTACTCCATGCTAGCCTTTAGACTACAAAGCACCCCACTCGAAGTACTACAACAAACAACAGGTGAGCCTAATCTGGAATGGCCGCCTGTGATAGGGAAGTGTTGATTGACATCGATTTGAGCATAGTCGTATCGCAGTTTCATCGACAACTTTTTTCGGCCGAAACAGCAGATAACTAATCATTGCTCAAAGCCAAGCGACAGGTAACAGAAATAAAAGTTGCCCCTGGTTACAGTTGCGCAGCAGCAGCAGCAGCAGCACGATCAGGACCCAACAGAAGCAATGACAGAAACCCAAAACCGCGGGATCATTTCAGGATGAACGACAAAAGAGTAGCGGAAGATTAATGGCGCCAGCAAAAAATGGCTATCGAATATTTGTCCATAGCGTCTGTTTCTGCCGCCGCTGCTGACAGGTTTACTGCTGCTGAAGCCTTTGCTCTCCGTGAAGTCAGGTGCCGAATCTTAAGAAGTCCCATTCTGCGCTATGATATTATTCTCCAGACTGATTCGTAGTGGCGACTCACTATACTTGGTTTTTTCTGATAACGTGAGCCAGCGGCTCTGTAATGGGAACGCAATGTCGTCTGGATCGGCTCAGTCGAAATCAAGTCGACAACGGCTAAGCGATGAAGAAGACCAGTGGCCAGTCGTACGTCTGCCGGTCAATTCGACTCAATCTGGTATAGCTTGTTGACTTGTTGTGGGCTGCATACTTGCTGGCTGGCTGGCTGGCTGGGTCGCTCGGTCTTTTTTCAGGCGACGGACGATCATTCGTCGTTCGGCCTGCAGAAAGAGACAGCGCCATATCATTCTCTCCCCTTGCTCCGCTGCCAGCGCCCCCTGCGGCCAAGCACACAAATAAACGGCTCAGCTAAGCCGCTGCTGGCGCAGCGGCTTAGCTGAGCCGGCAGTATCAATACTAGCAGTGGCAGCAACAGCAGCAAAAGGAACGCAGCATCGCTGCGACCACGAGAACTGGGAGCCGAACTGACGACTGAGCGTGTCGTGCCGGTCGCGGCCGATAGTGTGTGCTTCGTAGCGGCCGCAGTAACAGCATTGACAGTAGCCTGTAACGTTGGCGGCGGCGGCGGCGGCGGCGGCATCGAAGCCGCAGAACAACAAGACACGGCGACGAGGACAACGACGAACAGACAAAGGACGGCCGGAGCATATTCTCGTGGCGGTAGTGTGCTGTCAGCCAAGAGCCGCGTAGCAGCAGCAGCAGCAGCAGCCCAGAGGCGGACCTATAGAGGGGTCGGTCGGTCGTTGTCTGTTGCCACTGGACGCAGGAACGGCGGTCATAGAGCCAAGAAGCAGTCGAACACAGACAGACGGATTGCGACAGCGATAGACACATAGCAGAGGACAAGCGGCCAACAGCATTTGCATCCGCTTCCCACTTATACCGGTTGACAGGCCGGCAAATCGGCGGACAGCGGCAGGCATAGGTTCAGGCCCAGGCGCACGCAGCACACACCAGTGGCATCCCGTCGTGCCTAGCCGCAAGTGCCGCGTTGCTTCTATTTCTGCTCAAGTGAGGCACTGTATCGACCTGTCTGTGAGTATGTCTTTGTGAGTGGTGCATGTGCAGCCAAGGCGGTGGCAGCGGCCACAGAGAGTGAAATTGGGCTGGTGACCAAATCGAGTGGTCGAACAGATTCGAGCAGAGCAAAGTGGAGTGGAGCCTGCATCCTCGGTGACAGTCGCTTTCATCGTCAGTGCCGCGGAGACCACAACAACTTCTTGTTCAACGTATTCTAACAGTATTGGCAGCAGTAATCGTTTTACGTGCGGAACCGCCGTCGTGCATTAGTGCCTCTACCGCTGCTCTGACTAAAATCACCAGACTCGTATTAATCGAAGCTGGTCGACGTCTTTCATTCGCTCGCTAGTTCTCTCTCTCTCTCTCTCTCTCTCTCTCTCTCTCTCGCTCTCTTCCGCAGAAAAAAGAAGTCTTCGATCCGTTCTATTCTGTGCCGTTGCGAGTAAGCGGCGTTCATACGTCAGAGTGACGGACGGACCTCATCGCGTTCGGCCTGTTGCTGCTGGCTGGACGCAAATCAAACAAAAGTATCTAACAGCAATACAAGTGCCGTAGTGCTCCGGAGCCAGCGTAGTCCGGAGCGTCTGGAAACAGAAGGCGAAAAGTTCTCTCAATTGTCGTCCATTAACGGATTGTTGTTTACGTACGAAGATCTTCGAACCAGTCGTGAAGTCAGAGGAAATCTGTTACAAGTACACTAATTTTTAGTGGTTTTGGTGACACGAAACGACACCACAGGATCAAAAGCGAGGCCCTACTACGGACAAAGTCGACGGTGCCGCCGACATCGGCGTTGTCGTCACCCGCAGCCGTCATCCTGGCCGCTTTCGAAACGTCATTCTATAACGTTTGTTGTGTCAGCAACATCCGACCAAGTAGACGTTGCTAACCACTTTAGCCTGCTGTGGATTCTGTTGTGTTGGAAAAAAAACGAAGACACCGGCAGAGGCAACGCCGACAGCAGCATCAGGATCGATGTATGTGTAAGTGCTACCGTCATCCCTCTTCTGTAGTTTCCTATCACGTGTACGGCAGGGACCCTATCAACGACTGACTGGCGGCCACGAAACGATTGCAGTTTCAGGCTGCAGGGAAAAGAAACAAAGTTGAACCCGACTTCTCCCCGTCTACAGAAAGAAACAGGTCTCTGCAGTGCAGGCAGACAAGTATCAACCTTTACTATTAAAAGTGATAGTGCCCCTTTAAAAAGAAAGGCGCGAACGTTGCTTGTTTAATTGCTTTTGAGAGACAGAGATCGGCACTATATGCGAGCTCTGTTTAACCAATCCCTCGAAAAAAACAAAAGAAAAGCTACCCCCTTCGCCAAGACTAACTTCAGTGAATTCACAGTGCGTGTTCGCCAAGTCATTAGTCATCGGGCAGAATCTATAGTGATACATATCTGATCATGTTCTCTTTTATTTGGTGGAAAACGCAGCAAAAGTAGGAATAGCGGGAATATATATTAAGTCGTCAGAGAACATCTTTTTGCAAACGAGGCTGTTGTCGCCGGTGGAAACAAACCGGTTCGAACAAATCTGGTGTCAAGTATACCCCCGTCACCCTCCTCGCAGCCACCTTTGAGAGTGCACTTGAACGAAATCGTAGAAGTCGCGTTGGTTTCATCAGCAATAGCGACGACGGCGGTGGCGGCGGCGGCGGCGGCGGCGGCACAAGAAGCGATTCACATAAAAAAAAAAAACATCTGATGCTTACTGTATCCTAGCTACACGCTGTCTCGGGTCGAGTTGAGAGCTGAGAGCGCGGCGGCAGGGATACGGCAACCAGACAGACAGACAAGCGGGAAGGCTGAAATAGTACCACTAGTTCTTCAGCTACTGGTGACAAAGTCAGAGATCCCGTTGTTTTTATTAGTGTGTTTGTTCGAGTGGCTTTGTGCTTTGTTTTCGGTGGTGATCAATATTATTATTGTTTGTGCTTCCTCACGTTCTTGGGTTGTCGTTGTTGTTATTGTGATAGAAGTTCTTGGTGGGAGTCTGGTTTTCGAAGTTGTTATTGTTTTTATCGTCGACGAAGGAGGCTGTCAAAGCCGAAGGCAGCCAGGCCAGTGATGGCCAGCTAAATGCTGTTGGCCCTCGAGGATCTGGTGGTTTGGCCACACATGTTGTTCGCGCATTAGTCCTTCGGAACGGAGTGACCGAGATTGTTCGGTGTGCATGGGCCCCGGCCTAACCATGGATTACAACATCAGCCGCTGCGCGCGGCATCTCTGGCTTGCGGCTTTCGTGCTGCTATTAGCCCATACCCCATTGACGCCCTCAGTGGAAATTGGTAAGTACCTATTGAGCACAACTATATACAGCTTACGATTTTCGGGTAGCTTTGAGTGCCGTCAGTGTGCCAGAGCATGTCTAGGAGATCTGTTTATGCGTGTACGCATATTTGGGCGCTGCGATTTGCTCATTCGATAATTGTATGCGCTACGGAATATGTTTGAAGTTGGTTGGGGCACGAATCGTTATAAAATTCTAGACAGACAGAGAGATCGAGCCAGAAACAATGATATGTGCCTTAAATTTTATAATCACTAACCCTGCATAAGCATCTTTATCAAGTGTCAATAGGGATAACTGGCCTGCATAAAAAGCGGCAGACGAGAGCGCTATTTAAAACTGTTTTAACAGCCACAGCAGCGTACCGTTTAAGTGGCTGCATAATATTTCATAAACAGAAGCGCTACCGACCAATAGATATTTAAACACTTAGTTGAGTGGCGACTATGTATCTAAGTAAATCTGACTAAGGGCGAAATGTTCCGCCAAAGAGCGGCCATAGAATCTACAGTGTTTTTGACGAAATGGCTGTTGAATGGCAACGAAAAAAGCACCGTTTTCTAATAGTTTCCAGCTTTCCTTTATAGTTTAGCCTCTGTGGTAAAAAAAAAACAAAACAAACAAATAAGCGACCATGCACTGTTTATTACCTGATTTGCTCGATTATTGTTGAACTTCTTCAAATTTGACATCAACGTCTTATAAGCTCTGAGTGACGACACCGTCCATTACTGACGACGTGAAACCGTCCGTAGTCTGGGTCGATGAAACAGCTCAGACAGATGATCAATTGTAAACAAGGACACATGTATATTCATTATTGATTGTACCGAAAACGATAAGATGTACATATGCTATCAAATATAGACTAACTTATGAAGTGCATGAGCGAACGATAAAGAGATAGTGAAGTGATACAGACAGCGTTCTGCCCTGAGAAGAGCACTCCCCAAGATGTTTATCGATATGGACTATGAGGAAATAGGAAATTCAGCAACATTTTAAAAAGTCAAAACATTAGAAGTTTCTATTTTAATAGAGAAGAAATATGAATGGCAACGCTGGCTCGAGTACTTGTAGGAGTAGGTCAAGTGAAATGGACATTATGCGAACGATGTCGTATTGCGAAAATCAAATGAGTCTGAGTTATTTGTTAAAAAAAGGCCCTATAGAAGCCGTTGCCTCCACCGGTCCAAAAGTGCCACGTTTCCTTGGGCATAGCGTGTAATCTTTACTGAACTTGGCCAAGCTGTCCAATTTCTGGAGGGCACGCATTTCCATACACTATCTTTACGGAGTAACTGCAGCATTTGCTTATGTAGTTGCGCTTAAATGAAATTTCTATTGACTTTTTCTGACTCTTCAGTAGGAGTTATTTCATCCGAAAGCTTTGATCATGACGAGCAATGCTATAGCCAAAAAAAAAATGCTGCAACATAACGTGGTGGCAAAGAGACACAATTGTGTTCTACTAGTATAGTATACAGGCCAATTTATGCGCGGAAAGTAATATAGCACAATATGTATATATTGTACTTCAGTTTTGTCATCTTTGGTGGAAATGGAACACTGTATCTGTCTACATGTAACATTGTAGTTGTAAATTGTGCTGATCGAAGGGCGTATTTAGATCATCCGCTTGTGCTATCTGTAAGAGGACCCCTAGAAGGACACGCGAAGAAAAATGTGTCTATCGGTACGTAGCAGTCCTGCAGAAGGACAGTTTTGAAGACAATAACTGGCTGATCAATTATCGATGGGTAGGGAGGAAAAAACGAGGATTTCCATGACGAGTTGCAATGCTGAATGCCCGAGTGCCATCATGCGTAGTACTGCTGCTGGCGCCATCTTTGCCTGGGAACGACGTTACGACAACGGCAATAGCGGTCTGGCGACTGTGGTTGTGTTGGATCTCGGTCGTCACTGCTGCTGTTGCTGCCTCTGACGGCACTACCACCACAGCCATTTTCAGGAATCGTTAGGCTAAAGATAGGCAGAGAGGCAGGGGAGTTACATGGCGAGTGGCAAGCGCCAATGAAGACGAAGAAGCTTCGACCGCTCCACCGGTTTTCGGCTTCGTAAACAAGCGAATACCAACGCCAGTGCCGTGGTGCGGGGTTGCCGGTGGATCGAGTTGTTGCGGCTGCTGGCTAGAGTGGCGTTGCTTCTGGCGTCGTTTTGGCTTCTGGTGTCGGTGTTCGGGCATTCCTTCCGTTTCCAGCAGCTCCGACTGCTCCCTATGACAAGCACTTGCATTAACAACGCGACCACGAGCGCAAGTAGTGTTGACGCTGGTGACAGCGAAATAAGCAATCGTAACGCACCAACGAGGAATGCAGTAAATGAGTGCGTCACAACCATGCAAACATGTATAGTGTATATACACACAGCTATATGTATGTATGCACGTACATGTGTACATATATATATATATATAGCAGCTAGTTGAACGACGTGCGTGGACAAAAGCACGAGCGGCTTTTCTACTGCAGCAGATAAAACACAGATGCAATATGGACGCCACCACTATGAGGAACGCATTTGCAGGTGTTGTTGTCTATAGCAGCAGCGGCAGTAGCAGTTCGCAGGAAACTCGCTTTGCTGCTGTTATCATTGGAGCGGAGCTGGTATCTGTAGTGAGCCTGCCGTACCGGTGTGCAGTTACCGGGTACTCAACTCGTTAACTGGTTGCCTCCTGCCATTCGGTTACTGCAAGCGACTATTACTCACAGTAAACGGAAAAAACCTCATCGTAGCAGTGGTAGACGAGTAATCGCCAACGACGAAGTCGATTCTATGACGATGAAAGAAGATAATGCAGATGAAAGAAGGGCAGGCAGCCACGAGTTCTTCGCCACAGGCAGAGGTAGGGAGTCGGGGGAGCGAAAACGCAACGGCGGCACCGGTTACAACAACAACAGCAGCATCGATAACAGCCCTAGTAGGAGACACCATTAGCAGAGTATCCAAGCGTACTGCACGATATCAGCGAGTAACGTCGAACTAAACCGTTTCGAAAACAGCTGCGTATCGTGTAGAAAGTGATATCCGTATTGTCTAGTTCCTACCGTCTGTAGGACAACACTGCTGCGTTGGCCATCTGAACTGAGCACCAGGTAGCTGATTGTTCCAGCCTACGAGTCATTAGGGCTATATGTTCACAGGAATGAAATGTAGTGACCTCTTATCAAAAACTAGCTTTTTCATATCGCACTTGTATTGCTAATCGGCTTGTACGTGAATACTTTTTTGAGGGCCAGCCGCTGATTAGTCGATCATTTTCGAATAAGCCCCGGGCAACAACAATTTGACCATTTAGCCATCTACATCATCGATGTAGAAACACGTGTTACTTGCCATACACCATAGGTTTTTGTTTAGTGTATACATTGTTCTCTATTCCACATAACAAGGGGTCGGCAATATGACCTGCAGTAGCGACTACTTCAAATAACGGGTCACCTCGACCTGAAGAAAATTCTAATTAAACGGATTTTTTTTTAGTTTCGAGTCGACATTGATGCCAAAGAGGTTCCTTTATATACTACAATAGGAAACAACTTTCTACGTCATTCTCGGGCCGAACTGACTGACTTGAATTTATTGTTTTTCGCTGTCTTCAATAAGCGCCACCGCTCAACATGATACATGTTGTGGCAGTTTAACATCACTGTCCACAAGCTGCTTTTGTTGTTGCGTGGCTACCTGTCAGACGATTGTCTATCAGCTTTAACCGGAACCGTGTGCTACCTTTATTAAAAGCGTTCAAAGCTTCAATTACGTTCACTTCAACAACACCACCAAAATCAATGTCCAGTACTAGTATAATTTTTCGCCCGTCCGTATACGTTGATAGCCTCACTGAGAGAGCTATGGCAAAGACCGGTGCCAACTACTTGACGCCTGACACTTAAAATTGCAAAAAAGCCAAAATAATGATAGTGGATTAACATTTTGAACAAATCAATAATAGCGCATAATCAAAGTCAATGACTGCTATAAGGCATCTTTCTGTACCTCTACGGAGTGATATGTACTTGATAGTAATGCCAGCGCTACTAGTAGGCGTGTGGCTCTAAATATGAACCTCAACCAACTATAATGACGTTTGAGACTTTCACGCTGTCTGTAATTGTTCCCTCGGACGTCATATGACCTCACTGGATAAAACGGAAATACCCTTCTACCTTATTTTCGATACTCGAAAAGCTAGCGCGGCTCATTTATAATGTGTGTTGTGTATCACATCACCGAAACTCTTGAGGAAAAACGTCTGCGGGACGTGGTAGCTTAGAGATATTAGTGGTATCAAAGTAAAGATTTTATACCAAATAAAAGCAGTCCCGTGAGTTTGTTGCAAATGTGAGATAAATCAAATGTTTATTGCACTAAAGACGCAATGAAAGCCGGTATAGTGCGTCCAATTCAGTGAAGTGGTTTTTCCTCTTGGATGCTGGCCTCCTACTAACGAGTGGCTAACGCCACCGCAGAACGACACTATATTTAATAGCAAGATTAACTGCGACGGGTAATTCTTCCTGTATTTAATTTATCTCGGAAGGGTTGCGAAAATTCTGCTACAGCTTACGATTGCTTAGGTGAATTTAGACATATCAAAAAAAAAGTAGACATCGCTCTCAGTGGGATACCTGGTTAACCTAAATTTCCTTCCTGATCTTTCTACTTTGACTTTGAATTAAGTCTTATTACACGTTATTGACAAATGTTTTTTCATGTGATTATCTGTTGTATAAAAATGCACTTGTTTGCTGACTTTATTTTAAAATTCTCGTTTTCGAATTTCTCACGTCTAACCTTGATGGCGCAATGAAAGCTGCCTGTAACTAAACAAGCATGGCCTAAGGGATGATATAGTTAATTAGAAAGCTGGGGAAAAAAGTAAATAATCATAGCGGAACGGCCACGTCTAGGTTCAGATAGTTTAGCAATCATTTAATGCGTGACAAATCAGCAATGATGTCGGTATTGCGGAAGTTT